GTCTTTTCCAACCTAAACGATTCTATGATTCTATGATGCTGTATATTTATTCTGTTGATGACGTCTGCATCCAATTTCTTTGGACTGCAAATAAAAGTTAGCTTGTATTTGAAAATGCCAGAACTGCATTCAAATTGTAACTGCATGGCAGGAAGCACTGTTCTGGTGGCTGTAGAAGGCCAAGGAGTTCCCACCTCTACGGAGTTCACATTATCAAATGCTTGGTTCTGCTCCTGTGCTTCAAGAATTGATACAGATTAAAAATAATCCCTTTGTGTCTGTTTGTTTGTTTGTTTTCTTTACCATACAAGTCCCCAAAACCATGGACTTGCCAAAAATAATGCAATTACAAGTAAAGGGCAATGCTTTGCAGCACCGACGTGGATGTGAGTGGCTAAGCAGGGGGCTTCCTTAACCCAGTCTTGCTACCAAATGCTTTCTGCTGGTGAACCCCTCAGGCTGGATTGGAGAATCAGATCTCTCTAAAATCAGCAGTAGGGGAACCAGTCAGGACCTGGGTGACAGTATTGAACCAAACCATCAGCTGGTAAAAACTGTTGTGGTCACATTGATATTTAGAGACAGCAGTAGATGTGACACAGAGTTTTATAACATACAGTACAGAAAAGCATCCAGCTCCTGCCCTGCTACTGTAAGCACTGCACCACTAACCATAAGGAGAACATCTACCAGTTTGCCAGCAGGCTTGTCTTGGAAGTGCAAAGAAGGTAGGTGCATTGGGCAGGATAGTGACTTTTTTTTATACCGTCACTTTTGCAGCCATTCATTAAAGGTTAAATAATAGACTGCACTTGCCACTACATTAATAAGATTTTGCTGCTTTTTTTTTTTTTTGTCCAGAGATTAGGAGGGAAGGTTCCCTTTCTCCTGTGAATTCTCAAAAAATCACCTTGTTGCTGCAGTCTCCAGCTGTGAAGTTCATCACCAATCCTGAGTTCTTCACTGTGCTGCATGCAAACTATGTGAGTAATTATGATTTGTTCTCTCACACTACTGATTTCTGAATCCAAACGCTGCACCCCAGGCCTTCTGGGAGAATGCATAGTGAATTTGAATTGCGTGACCTGGGGCTCAGTTGTCCTTTCTGAGCACCAGACCAGGTTGGGGACAGTACAGGAAGGTTGCTCCAAGGAAACTCTTGCTGGGATTCTGCCTCACGCAAAGAATTCCCTGGTACGGAGAAGCTCATTAATGTTACCCTTCCAGAATAAGCAGGAACCCTTGGTTTCAGCTTAGTTGATTCTGCTGTCTGTTGCTGCAGTGAGTACCTCGCTTGCCTTTTGAGCCATGTGCCTGAGAAATCTTACTCGGATACTGTCAAGTCTCAGGGACATAGAGGGAAAAAAATTATTAATTCATGCATTTTGCACTCCCAAGAAGCAGCCGGGCATAATGCAGTGAAAGAAATACTGACTTGAGTCAGTGTAGCTATTTTGGAAAAAACAAGAGTGAAAATTAATTTTCAAAATTTAAGTAACTTTTTTTTTTCCATTAATGCAATAAATCTGCATGTTTTCTTGCAAACCTGATGTGGAGTGGAAAAAATGTAATGATAGGTAAACCAGGAGGAAGCAGATAGGGAAATCTCACAAGGAGATGCAGTCCTAGTTTTCCATATCTTGAATGTAGTTCAGCTAGGGATCTACAGATGACTTCTGAACATTCGGAAAGTCATCCATTTCTGGTTAGGGATGACCTTTCTTTTTGAAAGGAAAAGAAATTAAAACATTTCAGGAGTTGCCTCAGCACAAGTCTTTAGCTAACTATAGATACCAAGTTTTGGCTGTGGTGCTTTGCAGGTTGAAGCCAGCTGTCCATCTCCAAGAATCTGCCAGTTATTGCCCATGAAATCCTGCAGAGGAAGGGATATATTAACCCATCTGACATTACCTGAACTAGGTTATGGAGTGCATATAATTTCTTCCATTGACAGGGTGATACATGATGATTTATAGCTGGGAGCAATATCATTTTCATTCAGCATAGCTGTTTGCAAAATGAGCAACTGATTGCATAGTGGTGTAAGGAACAGCTCACAAGAGACTGAATCTCAATTTTATTTCTCACTGAAATAAAAAAGCCAAGAGAGGCCTTCAGTTTGAGCTTATAAAGTTGTCTCTAATATGAGAGCCAGAATAATCTATTGAAACATCTGTCAAATGGTCATACAGATTCCACTAGTACAGAAATAATGGCCCACATAACTTTTGGCTTAACACGGTTGTAATACTTTAACCACAAGCCCCTATTAAAATTTCAAGCTATTAATTATGCCAATGAAGTTGGGATTGGAAAATATTATCCAGCAGTTAGAATTAAAAGGGAAAGGCTCTCATTTTTCAGATATTTTATTTCCATGGAGGGATAAAACTTCATTACATTTTTTGTTTCCCTAGTGCAGCTAAGAGATATTCAGACAGTCCTTGATCACACATTAGATCAAAATACAACTTCTGTCATGGAGTAGGCTGGGATCTTAGCAATTTGTGACCATGAAGCTTTCCTGGGTTATAACCAGGTCATATCTTCAGGGCAGAGATCATATCTCTGTGATTTCATAACATTTACCAACCCTTGCCATAATTAGGGACCCTATGCTGCAGGGAGTATTCTCTTCTCAGTGCTACCGCCACGATAAATCCTTACATAATAAAGATAATACTTGTAAATGTTTTATTGCATTATGGTGGTTAAAATGCGTTAAAAGTACACAGAAACTGAGAATTTAAAGCTGTTGGGTCAGATTCTCTGGACAGATTACAGGTGCACACACTGGGGCTCACTTCACTGGAGACGCGAGTCCTCCAGTCATTCTTTATTACTCTAGTGACTAATGAAATCCTTTGGGCTGACCAGCAAAACCAACTCATTTTCTCTCTAGGGAAATGCTCAGAAGGGTTGCAAATTTTTGTAAAGTTTCCTACCCTGTCTTTAGGAGCCTTTTCCCTGAAGTAAGAGATCCCAAGAGTAGCCTGCGGATGAGAAAAGGTGTTGTCACCACAAGTGTATTTTGTGGTGCTCTATCATTGAATACACTGTGGCAACAGATGTAGTTCACTTTGGCCCCTATTCTGCAACCAGATCAGCACTCACTCACTCAGAACTGCACTAGGGCACATTCCTCTGAGAGGTGTATTTAATGCCCATTGTGAGGTACAACTAGCTGCCTGAGGGGCAGTGTTCATCTGACTCATGAAAACGTCTCCATCTGACATGCTTTGTAGTCGCTGCAGAAACAAATGTTCCAGGAAACGATTCATATCTTCCAAAAACAGACAATTGGAGGTGTCTGTTTCTGTCCTGTGGCTACAAAGTGACCATAAGTAAGGTAGCAAGCTTAGATGTAGACATCTGCACTGCAGTCCTCTTAAGTTCATGAATCCTATCGCATGCATCTTGGTTTGAGTTATAGCATAAATACATGTTCACAGCTGTCTTTGCATCTCCTGGCATCATCCAGTCACACAAGCAGTGTTTCTGTTGACCAATGAAAGCAATGAAATAGGCTACTACATGCATCTGGAGTGTGTGGCATTTTAGTTGACCATCTTTTTAGAGTGCATTAGAAAGGCAGTTTATGTACAAGGTAACTGTGCATAATGTATGAGACATTTCACTTTCCAGATTGTATTTCTTAATTCTAGGTGTTCCTGCATAGTAGTCATTCAAATCAAAACAATGAAATGGAAATGATTGTTGACTCTAACAGGATTTGTTTCAGTTCTTTGGGCATATGTCCCATGAAATAAACAAATATGTTGTTTTGACATCAGAACTGGCTTTCCTCACTTCTGTTTTCCATCTCATAGAGTGCCTATCGAGTCTTCACTAACAGTACCTGCTTGAAGCATATGATTCTGAAGATCCGTAGAGATGCTCGAAATTTTGAGCGCTATCAGCACAACAGAGACCTGGTAAATTTTATCAACATGTTTGCTGATACCCGACTGGAGCTTCCTCGTGGCTGGGAGATAAAAACTGACCAGCAGGGCAAGGTAAGAGTGCCAACAAAACTAACCACTTGTTTAACACAGTACATCAGGCTACATGATTACTAAAGGTTCCTTCCTTCTTGACTCGAAATTGGTGAAGGTTTGGTTTAAACAACACAAGCAGCAAGCAGAGTTATTTTAGAAGCAGAAAAAAGCTTCAAGAACAAATGTTTCAAAGCATAGAGGTGACCCTCTAGCTTTCTGTGGAATATCACACCGTAGCCAAGGCAGCATTGGACTAACAAAAAGGTTTAAGCCACAGTTTAGATCCGTCATGACTGCAAAATTTGGCTTAGTGTCTCTGCCTCCAATGAAGCTTTGCTGAGTGACTTCTGGAACCACCAAATAGGCTATGGCAGTGTTCCCCAGTAATTTTATTCTCTTCTGTCATGTTTACGTCATGGCCATTACACATGATTCTGACCTGCATAGCTTCAGGTATTTTCCAAGAGCTATTCTAGCTTCGACTAAGAAAGTCCTGTCATTTGCAGATATCTTCCATGGACTGCACCTAAACAGGGTATTTCTGACACACAATTGCCAGTGCTTTTCACTTTATGATCCCACAATACCACCACAGCGTTGGAAGTCTTCTTACAAAAAAACATTGTTCCTGTGTGTTTCAGTCTTTCTTCGTTGACCACAATAGCCGTGCTACCACTTTCATAGATCCCAGGATCCCGCTGCAGAATGGTCGTCTCCCTAATCACCTGACTCACAGGCAACATCTTCAGCGACTTCGTAGCTACAGTGCTGGAGAGGTAACTGTGCTAGTATCGATACAGTTACTTTTGACAGCAATCTTCTGTAGAATTAGAAGCACTTCTTATCTTTGAAATGCATTTATAAGCAGACTGTCTTGTGGATTTTTATCTTCCAGAGGAAATAAGGGACTTCTTTCTTCCTGAAGGGTTTATGTCAGAGCTGGCTGGTAATGAAGGTTTATATTTTGACCATTTTCAGAATAAAATAATAAAGTAAAACTAAATAACCAAAGTGAAATGATGACAAAATACATTTTAAAAGAAGAATCCATATTTGACATTCTAGTCTTGCGTTAGTAAAATCAAGTCATTCATTATTTTTATAGCCTGATACTTCAGCAGCCTCATATGTTTCTTCATTCCCTACTGTCACACTGTGCTCTGAAAAGATATACTCCCTAGCAGTAGTGTGGTAATGTATGTTGAGGTTTGCTTCCCTAGCTTTTAATCACATTAAACGTCTTTCCTGTGTTTCATGGGGACGATTTTTATCACTGGGGGCCATGGGCAGGATGGATAGAAGCATAAATCCTGGGTTTATATTCTGGATTTAAGGAGGAAAAAGTACCAGCAATCAGACTCTTCATATAGCAAATCCACACAGTTGAAGATTTGTAAAGATTGAAGCTGAATAGGAATAGAGATGAATTATGGCCAAAGGATCTTCCTCTTCCAGAAAAACATTCAGAGAAATGCATGCAAAATTAACATGAAAATTTATTGCAGCAGGACCAGTCTGAACACCTCCCACTGCCAAATGGGGTTGGGATCAGGAGCTAACTAGGGTGTGAGGTCAGTACTTCAGGACCAAAGGCAGACCAGGCATGAGTAACTTGGGTAGGTTTTCTCCATCTTGGGTGAATACGGCAGCACATTTTCTGAAGATAGAAGTGTATCAAGAAATCTGTTTCAGTCATATCTTCCCACCAACTTAGCAACTTCCCTCTGCCAACAGCCTGCAGTTTAGTGTTGCTGTTGTGACTGAATTATTGACATGAATGTGAGAGTCACCTACATGATGATTCATATTTGGGCCCATGCTTGCCTGGGGCTTGCTTACGAATTCACCATGTCAGGGACAGAAACACCACTGAGCAACTCAGTTTTGCAAAAGCTGGCAAGGAACAATTGACAATAAACCCAAAATACCAAGTACAGGGAAGGGAGCGAAAAGCATTGAATACTTTTGACTAGTGATTCTCTGGGGAAATTGTAAACTGTTCATTGAGGCCACTGATTTGGCGTGATCAGCCAATGAAACGGGGCTTTCTGTCTTGGGAGCCATCAGTGCTGGCACCTTCGTCTCACAGTCTCAGTGGCCTGGGTCCCACAGTGTTTCTTCACCCTTGTCGTAGTCAGTAGCTTCCCTTTGGAAGTATCTGCTGCTCCACTGGAAGGACTCCCACTGATTTCCAAGGACTTTGGATCGGTGCCTAAAAGCCCACCGCTTACAATGAAAAGATTCAACCCTTTGCAATTCAGCCCATTTATTAAAAGCTGCATGTTCCATGCCATTTCTTCCAAGTATATTTGGATGTGCTTTTGTCCTATAAATCATGTCTGTAGGGACACACTTGGGGCTTTGTCCTGGCCATGTGTCAGCTGTCTGCAGTCCAGCTGGTTTCTTTGCTGAGCAGGTGGTGTGGCCTCTGGAATCTGTCACCAGGACAGTATAAAGGACCAAGAAAGACAACCACCAGTTTTGAACATTATGTACAGATGTCAAACAGCCTGAAAGAGAGCAGAACAGTGCAGCTTCAGTCACGATTGCTTGTGGGTGCCAAAACTCTACCCCCTGCCTTGGCATGCACACCTGACATCCTGCCCAAGTGCCAAAATGAGTTGCCAGAGTGTCGTGTGGACTACACAGGGACTCTGTGACACTGAGTGATCAGTGGAGGAAAGAGCAGCAAAAATCATAGGCAGATGAGCCCAAAGTGGGGAGAAAAGAAATGCCCCAGCTTCACATACTCAGTGATGGCTCTTAGCTGAGTCACCGTAAAGAAATTATTATGGTTCTAAGAAATTGTGATCTTGATACTCAACAGCAGACAAAAAACCAAATGTAATGTTTGGAATTCTTGGAAAATTAATAGAAAGATCTGTTTAATCTAGGAGAGGACAGGCTTTACAAGAACCAAGTTTTGGTAGTAAAAGCCAAATCAATTCAATCAAAATAAGGCAGGGTTGAAATTCACTGAGAATAGTTAACCATAGGAACAAATGGTTACGTGGGCTTTGGGTCTCCATTTCTTCATACTTCCAGGCCAAAACATAGTGCAAAAGCCAGTTTTGTCTTAGTCACCAACAGGTTTCCCAGCTCCCTGGTCAGGGGCCATGCAGTGAATAGGCTGTGGTGTTGAAGTAAAAACGGTCATCTCCTGCCCTCCCTTCCATGACATCCATGAATCTTCTAAATCCTTTTGGCTCATCAAAATGTGGCCCTGATTCCTGCCTAATTATCTATGGTGTTGAACAGAATACCTTGCAGTACTAATAAAGAATTGATTTTTAGTATTTCAAATGTACTTTTAAAACTCCCTCATGAAATTGGAACATAAAAATATGCTTTTTCAAATATGGCAGTTTTCTTTGGTTTATGACGTTTAAAATTCATTCTCAGCAGAGACTAGAAATAGCAATTGCATAGCTTCTATAGAAGGCTGGCTGTTGCTTCCAAGTACTTTTATTCAAGGCCTACCCCAACTATTAACAGGCCAAGCAGAGATTAAAACTGCCATTTTCCTGTTAATCTCTATATGGTGGGCTGTGTTTTTAAAAAAAATTATCTGTGCATATAATAGTACTCCATTTCCCTCTTCCAAGAAAGAAAGCATCCATTTCATAAATTAATCTGTCATATTTATGCTTTTCTTCATGTTGAGGTGTTCTCCTAAATGAAGGTCCTCTGTGAAAACTTCTGATGTCCACCTGAGTAGATTCATGATATTAAGTGGCATTATATATAAATATGACAAAAATGCTACAGATTCTTTAGTAAGCACTTCTTCAAGGGTATCAATCTTTTACAGGAAAAAGGTGGTTGGTGCTACTTTTGGTTGCCTGATTTTTGAAAGAAAAGTTCAGGTAGCTGTACTGGCCGTCAGTAACTAAAAGAACATAGGTTGCTAAGTGCTTCATTTCCTTCTGCCACTGCTATAAACAGAACAGGTCAGAAGCACTTTCCATTCCCTCTAAGGGATTTTCCATCTGCAATGGAAATCAACACGTGTGATTACAGGGTAGAGATTTTACAGAGAAAAAGAAGAAAGAAGCAGGCATCCATAACAGAGAGGCAAGAGTTTCTGGTTAGCAAGAAAAGCAGAGGAGGTACTGGAATATAGCAGTATATAAATCTCCTTACTGACCCAAACCACAACAAGCAAGTAGCAGGATTCAAACAGGCAGGAGCCTCTCAAATCCAGCAGTGATATAAAACCCAGGAAAGGGTATTATATCATTGAAAGGCTCCTGTGATAGTTTGGACTTTCCACTCTGGTTGCAGCATCCCAAGATCAATTGCAAAGCTGTTAAACCCTGCCATAAATCTGTCAGATTACCCTGCACTAGATGAACCAGGTCACTAAATCATTAGACTATCACTGATTTTTTCTTTAATTAGAGAATAATGTGCTAATCTAAATTAAATGATTCAATTCGAAAGTCAAAAGTAGACAAGGCGATTGTGATTAAACACTGAATTGGAGCAATCAATTGTACTATATTAGCTAAAAGATTGGAAAGAGGAGTGTTAGCAAAATGGGAGTTAATTAGACGGCTGGGAATTTTCCTGTTGTGTTACCAGACAAAAATTGTTTAGAGGTGTAAATGTGTCAAGACCATGATCCAAATACAGCATTAGCGATGCCTACTGATGGTGAGGAAGTACAGCACCACAGAGTGTGCAATTTGTTATGTTAAGGTGCATACAGAATTGGATTCTTACAATCTAGATGACTTTAGCTGTTAAACCAGAATTGAAAAGAAGGGAAGGGGGGCATGAAGGTTTCTCTTCACGGGCTCTAGACGCATTTCCTTTCAGAATTCTTGCTTCAGGAGAAATATGTTCAGGCACAGAACTCAGCAGCACTGGAAAGCTAGCCAAAAGAGAAGGAAGAAAAAAAAAACCCCACCCAAAACAGGTGACATGAGCAAGGGGAGGATCCAGCCCTCGGCTGGGCAGAAATACCATGCAGTTCCCAAGTGACGAGCAAATACCAACTGGTGCTAATTTTTGTGGGAGATGGGTGCTTAACTCATCTGTTACTCCTCCCTTTCCCCCTTCCTATCTTCTGGTTAGTAAATCTGTGTAGCAACAAGGGCATAGGATTTGTCTTTGTCAAGGATGAGCCAGAGACCACCCTTAAACCAGGCTTACCCACCATCCGCACTCCCGTGCAAGTCCATTCAACAAGGAGCTGGGGAAGAGGCATCCTCACCTGATCTCCAGAGCTCCCTGGAAGTGGAGAAGCTGAGCACAACACAGTGCCTTAGCACCGTCACACACGTCCTCACTACTACAACCAATCACAGGCCAGTGCATGATCTCGTCTATGCTGCCTACAGCCCAAGGAACGGCCCTTCCCAGAAGGCCTTCATGCCCACTGTGGCAATGGATTATACAGCACTTCTTGCACCTAAGCTTGTTCCTTCTTCCATAGCACAGAGTGAACGCCATAAAGGCTACATGGTACCTGTCAGGGTGGATGCCTGGGTCACAGGGCAAAAGCTGCCTAAGCCTGAGCTAAACTTGCAGTGTCTGCTGGCCCGTGGGTGTGTGAGGAGGAGACAAAGGCAGAAGATTTAGCACAGCACAGAGGGACTTAGGGAATTGTGTATCACCTGCTTGAAAGTTCTTCCTGTTTTTAAAGGTGAGAAGAGAAGGGTTGGACCAAGGTTAGCAGATCAGTCCATTAAATACTGCGAGCTCAACTGTTCTCTCTGACACTGGGATAACTCTTGTAGTCAGCAGATGCATACCAATATAAAATGGGTGCAAGTGAAATCATAATTGAATGACGGAGTGAAACATTCACCATGCGGTTTCACAGCAGTTTTGTGTTTTCAATTACAGTATGTTTAATTAGAATAATTAAGATTTTTCATTGTTTAACCTGTGTATTGACACCTATCAAGTGTATTGACTGGTATCTTGTTACATATAAACATTTTATGCTTTATGTGCTCCAAAGGCAACTTGCCAGTCAGATTTAGCTTCCCGGTTTTCATTAATATCCAGTTGGAAGACCTGGTATTTGGCTGTACCACTGAAAATGGGTTGGCACCATTTGCTTGGATGCAGAACTAACCATTTAAAATATTGGAGTAGGGGCAATTTCTTCCTGAAGTGGTTGCCAAGTACTACAATTTTTGCAGTGAGAAAGGAGCCACTGTTAGCCCAGTAGAATGGCAGTTGGAATTCCTAACACATCTTGTCCTGATACAGGGTGTCCTCACACTGATTTTGTAGCAGTGCTCCTCTGTTGGCTTCACTGTGGCCATATTCTGGAGGAACACGTCTGAGAGAGAGAGGTGGGTTCCCCTCAGCTTGCACAAGTCCCCGAAGAGTTACCCATCAAGTAATGACTTACTGAAGATAGATTGCCACACCTCATTGTATGGCTTTTAATATTCTCATACCTAAGTGTTTTCCCACCTTTTAATGTATCTGCCTTCCTGACATGATTCCCTTCGCTAGATACTGTGTTTAGGACAATGGCATTCTTTAAGTGCCTCAGTTAAGTAGTAGTGATAAATTTCCTTCTTACTACTCTTTTTATCGGCTGTTCACATTATGTTCCTTTTTTTCAACTTCTATTTCTGGTTATGCAAGTTAGGTAACCCCCTTCTGCGACAATATATCCCTTTTTTGTCCTGTGATCTACATAGATATATAGCTTCCTCATGTTATTTCCAAAGTTGAATTTCCCCGCAACAATGCTGAGTGAACAAGTTACAGTGTTGTGGGTTTTTTTCTTTCTTCAAATTAACATTGCTGTAAAAACCTCGAAGTAAATGCAGTTATGCTAGAAGACGAGACTGTATGATATTACAGAGATTTTATTTTCATTGAGCCAGAGAACTCCATCACTGCAATACCTTTATTAACTTGTATTTGCTTCTGGATTCTGGTGCCTTCACTGCAGCATCAAAGAGGGGTGATAGCTGTGGATAATAGTGTCCCTCCATTTGGAAGCACAGAATTGCCTGCCTTTTTTAAGTTGGCTGAAGTATGAAGCTGCAATTTTCATGCAGGCTTTCTGTCCTTCAGTCAGTCAGCATTATGGACTGTTCTGAAGGTCACAGAAGTAAAGATGAGAAACCTTTTTACTGACTGATGTGCTACTGATGGTGAACTTTGATCTTTGAACTTTCCCTTTCCTCTGATGTTGTAGGCCTCCGAAGTCTCTCGAAACAGAGGAGTTACTCTGTTGGCCAGACCAGGCAATAGTCTCGTAACAGCTATTCGAAACCAGCACCATCATGAGACATTACCTCTGGGTAAGCCAAGTTTCTCTCTTCTTTTCAAAGCAGTGCTCACAAAGATGCTTTTTAGAACTTCTCATCAACCACATGCACTGCATCATGTTGCCCTGTGCCTCGCTAGCAGTGTAGTCAGTGTGCCCCTGCACAGTCACAGTGGCGTGACCAGGCCCCCTCAATGGTAAATAAAGCCTCTGTATTTTTTTATTCCTTTTCCAGCTTACAATGACAAGATTGTTGCATTTCTACGCCAACCCAACATTTTTGAGATGCTGCAGGAGCGTCAGCCCAGCTTGGCCAGAAACCATGCACTCAGGTACCACTTTTTTCCAGACCGCTGAAATCAAGTTCCAGGAAGGACTTCCTGTAGCAGGGAAAAACAAATTCTAGTACCTGTAGTACAAATTATGAACTTGGGCCCCATATGGAACTGTCGTCATTAAAGAGTAGGTGTGCACCACCAGAAAATATGTAGTTACTATAGCTGTTTTCCACAGACACCCAAGAAGTAAGAACCAAGATAACTGTGGGCAAATAGTGATGTATCTAATTTCCATTCTAAGTCTTACTGAATAGCAGAAACTCTGTCTTCACCTACAATTATCACTTTGCTTTTCAGAAGATAGGGTTAAAATTGTGTTTTGATGGAATTCAGCAGCAAAACCCCAGTAACTTCAGCAGAACCAGGATTTTACCTCATGGTTGGATTTACACCCATGCCATGGACATAGTCACCCTAGGTTTTATAAAGAAATAGGAACATTATTAAGTAGATTGTACTCCTGTCTTTAATGTTTCTCACTTATGACTTAATGGTAGTCCTTTCCAAAGTAATTAAACTGTATCTTTCTTTTTTCTTATGCCCATTCCCTTCCTATTAGGTTTAAAAAAAAAAAAACAAAAGAAAAAAACAGATCCAAAAGCCAGTACAATTTAAACTCATTGTCATTCCAAAGGTTAAATTAATTGTTTTGGCCAAGAACCTACGCTGGCATTAGTCAGTCTCAGCAATGCCAGTGTGCACCAGCTAAGACTTTGACCAAGAATTTAGTTTGCACTATGCAGTAAAAGGTGTGGCTGCGGGACTGGCAAAGGAGGGAAGGAAGAGCAAGGGAAGGACCTTCAAGTTCCTGCAGTGCAGTTTCTGCTGATAGCCTTACTGACTCGTAGTTTACCTGTGAGGACCAGACAAAGAGTTCTTTGGGTGTAAGGATTAGACCTCCTTCCTGGACGAATTAATACATTCAAATAAAATGAGGGAGACAGAATGAAAAATGCTCGCAGTATTCAAGATGTACATTTCTGTAACTGAGAATTTTTTATCTTCACCATCAAATTATTCCAGACTATTTTTTTTTTCTCAGCTGTAATTTGAATTCTCATTTCTCGGAGAACAGATGATGCTTTCATCTCCTTTTGAGCGGAGAACAAAATTGACTAGTGATAGGGACTAGACAGCTTAGCCAGTGCGTAATGAGATTTGTAACAGGATATGAAGCCCTTTGCCTCCAGGTCATTGCTTTGTTTGTACCTTAGGTCAGGAGTGATCCCAAGCTACTGTCTAATGCTTGTACAACAGGTATTAAGCAAACACCTAGGAGACAAATGTCTCTCTTCTACAGGGCTTGATTCTGCAATACATTGCAACCCCACCCAGCAAGGTACTAAAGCCCATCCTTGACCTGAGGTAGAATCCTTTGACTTGATACTAGAATAAATATTCTTGGACACTGCAATGCTTTAGAAACACACTGACAGATTGAGGAGTAGATCTGTATCTTCCACGGTCCTAATCTACTGTTAAGATCCTATCCTATGTTTCCCACTCCTTATTAGCGTTCATTTAAACAACAAAATGTACGATTTTACACATGTACTGTATAACCTCTGTGTGATCAATTAATATCAATTCTATGTTAGAGTGTTATGTGCCAGATAGAACTGACAGAGGTAAAGGAAGTGGTATTATATGAAATTCTGTTAACAAAAGGTGGTGTATTAGTTGTAGTCTTAAAAAAAAAAAAAAAAGTCAGCTACACATGAGCTTGGAGGACTAAGAATCATTCTGTTTTCTAAAATATGGTATAAAGCCTCTTCCTTTTGGATCAGGAAACTGAGTGATATAAATAGATTCTTTTTTGCAAGTTTGTTAGTGAGATTAGAAATTGAATCAGGCAGTTAAGATGTTTGCCATTTTTGTAAGGAAAGGAACAGGAACTGGCAAAATACCAAGGAATAACAACTCCATGTGTAGTTCATGACTTGATAATGGCATGTTTTCTTCTTTTTTTTCTTTCTTCTCTTCTCAATAATACCATTTATGTTTCAGGGAGAAGATACATTACATTCGGACAGAGGGTACACATGGGCTTGAAAAGTTGTCCTGTGATGCAGATTTAGTAATTCTGCTGAGGTAATCAATTTGATCAAAAGCATAATGTCATTACTTAATGGTACCAGAGAAGCTGACTGGCTCTTTCTCAGCATAATTGAAAAGATTTTGTTAAATCTTCAAGGTTATTTGTAATTAGAATAGGATTCATTGTTACTGATAGTCACCTGAAATACTTTAGCCAGAGTATATCTGTCAACTCTTACTTCCTGGATGGCAGCCTCCATCAGTGCAGTAAACTCCATCCCTAGCCAGCTCAATCAATATAGCTGTTACCACCAAGTAGCAGATAAAAAAGAATCAGGTCAAAATGTTTCCTTTTAATGGAAAAATTATTTTTTCCTTTTTTTTTTTTTAAAAAAAAAAGAGGAGAAAACTTGTCTTTCTCAGTGGAAATAAATAATGTAACTGCTCACTAAATTGCTAGTTTTACTGCAGCAGTTGCTCCCCATACATACAGGCCCACATCACACTAATGAAACCTCGATGTATGGTGCAGTGAGTGTTGTTTGGGTAGTGTAGATAAAGCTTTAATTTTTACTGGGACCAGGGGGTCTTGGTGGTTAAGTCCTAGCTATTTTTGTTTAGCACAGATGAGGACTTATTTTATTGTTTTGGTCTTACATGGAAAACGTTGCATTACCCAGGTGGTTTTGGTATGCTCTATAGCACTGCCTAATGCAAGAAGTTTACAACTTCTTCCCATCAATTTAACCCAAATGGTCAAAGAGCTGAGCTATATGAAAACCTATGACCTGAGAAAAACAACGTGGGAGACAGATGTGCGTATCTTTGCTTCTCACTTCTAACGTGTTGAAGTTGTCCCTGTTTAGTACATAGCCTCAGATCTTTACTCTCTATCAGTAGATTGAGGCACTGTGTTACCATGAAATGTTTAATAAAATTAATTTTGTTGTTCTTCATTACTGATGACCGTGCCTGATTTGGGAAACTTGTGGATTTTGTGAATCCATGAGTTCAGAGATGTACCCAAACTTATGACCACAGCAGACTTGCACCATATGGCATATTTACATTCCTTCATGTGATAAATGTGAACCAAACCTCTCCCTATCACTTTTTCCATGCAGCCTTTTTGAAGAGGATATTATGTCCTACATACCGCTGCAGGCTGCCTTCCATCCTGGTTACAGTTTCTCTCCTCGCTGCTCACCCTGTTCATCACCCCAAAATTCTCCAGGTAAGGGGATGGGGAAAATACAAAATCTTCCATTTGTGGTATTTCTCTCAATGAATACAAAGGGGCAGATTCAGAGCCAGCATGAGTTGTCAGCCTGCTAATTCCAGTGCCCACTCCAAATCTGACCCCAGCTACCTTTTTGCTGGCTCAGTTGCCATTACTGTTATGTATCTGTTGAAATGTTAACAGTAGATGAAGCACAGAGATCAGAAATTGCCCATATGGAAGAAGGTATTTTCCTGCTTTTTGTATAGTTGGAAAGGATTAGAATAAGAGAATGGTGTACTCCAAACATAACTCACTGACAGGGAAGCACATTCATGTTATGACAGGAGCAAAGAGCAGCTTCTGAATCAAAGGTGTGTTACAATACTTCCAGTACCCCTGTAAAGTTCAGTCTCCTCCACTCATTGTTCCAAAGACTTCTCTTCTTCACAAGACTCATGTATTTTAAGACCTGAGGGGATCATCTTGGTCATCTAGTCTGACCTCCCGTGTTGAGCCCATTAACTTAGGTTTGACGGGAAACATATTTTCCAGAAAGACATGCTGTCTGAGAAGGTTATTTCCAGCTGTGGTATGTCTCTGTAGTTATTGTTTATGCTATAGAAATTTGAGGAGCTAATAATGTCTCCCTTTTGCCAAGATATACAACCCCCACCGCAGTCTCACTGCTTGGCTGTGTCCAGTGGCCATTTTGAGAGAATCAACAGAAATGTGATCTGAAGAAATCCATTTTTGGCTGAGCTTTTTAAACATTCATTTAAATTATCTGGTTTCAAACAAAGTTAATGGACAAGAGACATTCAAATCTCGGAGGTGGCTGTGGAAAATTGGAAGGTTTTTTGATGTGAAGAAGTTAAATGCTGAACCCTTGTCTATAGGAGGATCGTGTTTTGTCAGAATGTCCTATTTTCATTAATGAGTTTTAACACCACTGGTAATACAGTTCCCCTCCTCTACATCAGAACAGGTCATAAACAAGTCTCCTGCAAGACAAAAATCTAAGCATTTGGCGAGAACATGACTTAGGAGAATGTTAAAAGAACTGGTCTTTACCTGTTCTTGTGAAGACACAAGAAGGGCAAATATTCATTTCTGGCAACATACTGTCTGCTTGCTTATTTCTGCCACTGGTTACATAGCCCATGAGAACACCCATTCTCCTATGTCCTGGGGGAAAAAAAGTCTAACAGAAGAAAAGAAGTGTCGCAAGGGATTCTCTTTGCGCTGCATGTAAACACGCCTTTCTGTTTTACCAGCAGAGACAATTAGTAATGTCCTTCCCTCCTGGCAACCATGATACTTTGTGGTCCCACTAAATATCTTTGTTTATTTATTTATTTATTTATGTGCCTTCCTGTGGAGGATTTTCTGCCAGATTTCTCATAAAAGAGCTTGTTTTTATTGTCTTATATAATGAGATAGGGAAATAGGATTTCATGGATCCATTCTTCGACCCTTTATGGCATGGCACTTGTTTATACAAAAGGACTAATCAGCTTCTTTGAGAATGCAAACTTCAAAACAAAGCAGGTCCCAAATTGCTAAAAATCTGCTGTTTGTGTGAATCACAACAGGAAAATGTGGCATTTCTTGCTGACAGAAATCCTTCTTGATGCCACAAAGGGGTTTTGTGTTGATAGCTGGAAGTGTTTAATATGCAGTCAGATTAACGCAGGGAAACCCGATTCCCAGCTTGGCTAGGGTGCTAGGCTCCAGTCAGAAGCACTGCTTTGAGCTCCAGAGGTTTAATCCTGCCAAGTAAGGAGATCTCCTATACAATGCAGAGGAGAGAGATCTCTTAAAAGTACAAGAGGGACAGAAAACCTAAATTCCAGTGACGGTGAGTGAGCGTTATGCACGTCAGTCTTTCTCATGCCTTTCTGATCCTTGAATTTCCATCCAGATCAATCACAATTAAAGGCTGAGGCAACACAAAGGCACGCACAAGGTGAGCTTAACAATTCTTTTAGTGAAGAAGACATAGCCCCTGGAAGTCATTGCAATCACTGAATTATAGGAACTTTACATTAATGCCAGGTAGAACAAAAATAATACTGAGTGCACTGTATACCTGTAAAAAGTTCCTAACACATTTGTTAGCCAGTTCTGTCTGGAAACATCAGCTGCATGATTCGGAAAAATTTAAAGCCCCTTACACTTTAGGATACTGTTCATTTTCCCACCAGGACTGCAGCGAGCAAGTGCAAGAGCGCCTTCTCCATACAGGAGGGACTTTGAAGCCAAGCTGCGCAATTTCTATCGAAAACTTGAAGCCAAAGGATACGGGCAAGGTCCAGGTAAAATTAAGTGAGTATTATGAAAAGTCACTTGAATAGCCTAACATGGTGTAGCTTTGTCTTTTATCATTATCCATGAATGAAGACACTCATAGAGAGCGGGAAACACACCAGAGATCACATTTTGTACATGAACCACGAAGGCAAGCGTCCTGCAAAAGAGTGACCTTCAATATGCTTTTTTGTGGAAGTTTTATTTCTTATAGATTCATATTCTCTTACACTCCCATTTAACAGGGATTCCTGTTGGTATTCCTACCTATAATTTGCTAGTAGGAAAATCATCCATTCAGGCAAATGTCCACCAGAGATTATTAACAGCTACGTCATTGTAATGATGGAGTGACTCCATATCCTTTGAAGCTACGTATCAGTGTAACTCAGGACCAGAGTATGACCCTACAGAAATTAACCTGTACATGCAGGTTTAACTTTCAGTAATTCTTTGTGTTGGAAGCCCTCCTGGATTCGAACTAGAGAGATTTCTGCCTCTCTTCATGTATTTTGGGGATCTCTGTCACTTGGTTATGGAGTTTGCTTTCCAGACATCTTGTTAGTTGGCTTTTGAGTCTGTACCTACTTGTGCTTGATCCAACTTGACCAAAGGACTGTATGTTTCTAAGGTGTTTCTTGGGCATCTGGTTGAATTTATGCATCGGGTTGGCTTCCTACCAAATCACATCTGTTGTGGGGGAAAAAAAAGTATGAAGCTAAGCAATTTATTCCAGGCAAACATCACCATCAAAATATTCTTACAGAGCTGGGGAATCCTAGCCATTGGTTATCCCTTTTGGTGTCCTGCTCAGTGGGTCCAAGGCAGTGACAAAATATATTTTAGAAAGTCTGTCTTAAAATGTCCATGAACATATGAAGAAGAAGGATTTCTTGCACGGATGGTGTTTAAATGTACTATTCATTACGATGTTTTAGAGGTTGGCAGGGGAGCGAGAGGTGTGTTGTATAAACAGAGGCTGATACTCCCTTTGCTTACCGTGCTACAGAAGCAGTAGTTCCATGGACATTCACTGGCTTAAATCCAGGAAGAGTTCGAGGCCAATCCCAGAAAGCTGTGACCTCATGTACACAAGAAATTCACAGCCCCCTCTACCATACAAATTAGTACATAGAGGGTGTTACAGAGAGTCTTAAGTAGAGCAACACTTTGAACGTAATCACAGCATTGTGAAGAAATTCATCTTTGAGGCATATGGAAAAGCCTAATGAAACAACTCACTCAGAACCCATAATGGTCAAGTAGCATGTGCACCAGTGGATGCAACTTCATTAACTTCTCTGAGAATGAGTATGTCTCTTTACCAGCTCTTGTTTACCTTCAGCCTCACAGGCTCACACAAGACTTAATCATTAGATCTCTATTTCTGCCTCCCTTTGCAGGTTAATTATACGACGTGACCACTTGCTGGAAGGCACCTTCAACCAGGTAATGGCATATTCACGCAAGGAGCTCCAGCGGAACAAACTCTACGTCACGTTTGTTGGCGAGGAAGGGTAGGGAACCACTAAATGCTATCAGTTTTGAAGTAGCTGTTATGTTGTAAAACACTTACAGAGTTGACTAAGGCTGAGCCTCTCTTGTTATGTAATGTTTCTTTGGTTTTGTTTTACCTCTGAGTAAGTGATTCATCTTAATCAGCTCAAACATTTATTAAAAATAACAATAGCAATAATGCTTCATTTTCCTGTAGCACCTTCCATCTAGATGTCTCAAAGTGACAATTTTAGGGGTTAAATCTAATGTCATCTTCTTGCCATAGGTATTTTGACTGGCTGGAAGGCAAAACTGAACTACAGGCCCATGTTTACACACTGAATCAGTCTCAGGGCTGTAATTAGAGACCAGACCTTTATCCCTTTTGTTACTTTAACTCTTCAAAATGGATCTGGTTTTGCTTCAAAAATGTTTGCTTTGCATGCCATCTAATGATCATTTGTTATCCATACATGGACTTCTTGTTTCTGGCTGAAGTGAGAAACGTGAATGCTGTTGAGTCCTTACCGTTTGATTCACCCAGTTGGAAGCTGAAAGTAATAGAAGTCTCTTGAGAAGGCCTTTTCTCAGGAGACTTTCTGCCAGCCTTACAAATCCATAAGCCATTCTTGTATGATTAAAGCCAGCCCCTGACCTTTTGTTTCCAAATGTAAACAGAACCCTTCAAAGCCACCCTGGCTCACCTTAAGAGCTATGTTGTAATTGAGGCTTAATCCACATGCTTTTATAATGGAAAGACCATTGTGCGTATTTCCAGTGTTCCATATAACAAAGGCTTGAAATCATATTTCAATAGCTTTGTATATCAAGTTTCTTCTTTTAAAAAAAAAAAAACAAACACATGGATAGGTACCAGAAGAGTAAGGCTCTGCGGCAGCTCTCAGCAAGTCCAGCAACTGCTGACGCTATCAGCTCTGAGGTGGCATGTCAAATGAAGAGCTTCTGCTGAGCTGAGCTTGGCTGGGACATGTTAGGTCCAGTGGAAAACAGAAGTCACCAATCTCAGAGTCACTCAGTGACCTCAGTATCAGGGGCTTTCTTAACTCATACTTTTTCTACTCCATGGATTCAGTATTATTTAACAGAGGTTGTCTTTCATAGCTGGTTTTGCCTCTGGCTTGCAAATAAAGCACAAACGTGCAACGTAGCTCAGTTTGCATTTTTGGAATAGCATTCTAGTATGCTAACACTGGCCAAAGTCATGTTGTTTTCCCCACATCTCTAATAACTTTTACTGTGCATGGCACGGTATCCTCAGGAGAAATTACAAACCAATTTGATTTGCAAATTCATTCATTCTTTGCTGATTCATTTACATCTGAAGATATATTCCCCCAGGGTTTCTGCTGTTTAATGCTAGTATAGGTTCTGCTGGAGGGACTTCAAGATACCAATTCCCTACTGAAGAGTTGATGCTGTATGACCACGTGATGCTGTATGGGCACAGCTTCCCACGTGTTTCAAAGCTAAAATGACATTGAAAATGGACTATGAAGGCTTTATGATGAGTTAATGTGTTGCCCAGAAATGCAATACCTAGTCTCTCCTTGGAGGTTTTTGAATATAGACAGGTGTTGTTTGTAGTTCTTTACTCCAGCCATCATCAGGCTTAGCCCAGGATTTTAATGTCCATTGAACCAGATCTGGTAGATGGTTAGCACTAATGGTTCATGTGGGCTGACTACCATCCCTTTTTGCTGTTGTGGCTTTAGTCTCACCGCATGATCTGAGAGCTAAAGCTGCTCAAAGAGAAAAGTACTCAATCTCCAGATGTAAAACAGAAGAGGATAGGCCAGCCTGCCCTTTATCATATTTCTAGTTGCACAAATCAATCATTCAACCCCTTGTGGTCATGCTTCCATAACTTCAAACATAATACAGAGCATTCTGATCCAGCTGCAGAGATTTCCACTTAACTTTACATTCGTTAAGTAGAAGGGATAACGCCCACCTCAGAAAATCTTTTGGCATATATGATATATGGCTACAAATCATTTGTTCGTATTGCTACATGTAGATTTATTTTAGATTGAAAAACCTACCTACCCTTATTAGAGGACGATCTGTTTTTAATAAATCCATCACAGTTGAGTTTAATGCATTTATTAAGCTTTTTTGTTTTGGGTTTCTTTTTTTTTAAGTTAAGATAATTGGAAACATTGATTTAAAAGTTGAGTTTAAAAAAAAAAGGAAAAAAGGTGACTTTCTACAGAGCAAAATCATGCAACAGCAAACACAGCTTAAGGTGTACCACATGTATTTGAAACTATCAGAAAAGTAGAAGAGCTTGGACGGAATAACTGAGGAATCACCATTCTATCTTAAGAAACAGTTCTGTTGGGACTCGGTCTTGTTCAGCATTGACCTTTAGGTTATACCTATAGCTAAGAAAGCATCCATGGGGCTAGATTGTATTTTTGGTTATATCTCAGTGTAGGAGAGTAAAAGCAATTTCTGCTTCAGTCTGGGCTGTCTGGTCTGTGAACCCTGGTGTTCACAGGCAGTTCAAACCCACTCACTAAAAAGCTAGCCCTCTGCTAGCCAGCCAGATAAGGCAAGGCTGAGCCTTGTACCTCCGATTTACTAAGCATTTGGAACAAAGGAAAAGAAACTACTTAAGGGATGTGTCCAAGTTATGATTCATCCCAGATCAACCCGGATGCCAGTGAAGTTTCAGCATTGTGACTTGTTTAGGGCTCAGAATCAGGTTTTGAGAGGGGAGATACACCATGTTAGAAACACTTGACTGCACAGGGGTAGGTGTTAGACAGCAGCCAATGTAGGCAAAACCCAGGAAATTTACTCAAATGGGAATGAGCCTCATTTTATCTTTTTTTTCCTTTTCCTTTTCAGGTTGGACTACAGTGGCCCCTCCCGAGAATTCTTCTTCCTTCTGTCTCAGGAGCTCTTCAATCCCTATTACGGGCTGTTTGAATATTCAGCCAACGACACTTACACTGTGCAGATCAGCCCCATGTCTGCCTTTGTTGAAAATCACTTGGAATGGTAAGGACATTTTATGCAGAATTGAACAATCCTTTTAGAGCAACACAGAAATGGAAATGCAAAACACAAAAGCTGCCAGTTTAGACTAGGCTACATACAAATATCATTTCTTCTGCTGGGAAGTGGGAAGTAGGTTGGGAGAAGGAAGAGAGGGAGTAAGTGTAAATACAACAGCAGGCTCTGAAAAAGGAGTTGTGATGAAGTACTGCTGTTAAAATGTCCTGCTCGATTACTACTTGGGACTTCATGTTTGTGTACTTCTGTGTGAGTGTGAAAAGGACAGGGAGAAGAGCTCTGCTTAATCCAGGTCTCCTCTCCGTGGTCCCTTTCCAAGAATAGCAAGTGTGGTCTTTCTGTACATCAAGCAGCATTGTGCTTGGAAGCTATACAGTGTTCTCCAAGAGCCACGTTGCTGCTCTGTACCTACTATGGGCTTTAAAAAAGGCCCAGTGAAAGCAGTTTCCCTTTTCTCCCCAAACAGAGTGTCCCTGCTTGTGTGTGGCAAGGCCAGCAAAGCAAGCAGGTACTGCACCTTACCAAGTATGCGTGCAAACAAATTGCTGATCTTGTTTATCAAAAATTCTGAATGCCTATTGTGATCTCCTCATTTTTCTATCTGCCTCCAGATCTGTCCATCTTTGGGAGTTCTTTTCCCTTTGATAGTTTCAGATGTGGTTCAGTGAAGCATGAGCTGCCAGCCCTGGGCATTGTTTGATCCCTTGTGGGATTTCATTGTGTCAAAGAAATACTGCCACATGGGTTTGTTCCTATGATGTTTTTTTGTCCAACCAATCTCACTGGCTCCTCTCAGAGATCCTTTTTTAAAATGGAAGGCAGTTCAGGCCCCTTTTAAATTGCAAATATCACATGCCCTTCTATTCTTGTAAACAGGTCCTCCTTTGCTTTGGCTTACAGCTGGCAGGAGATCAAGAACAAGTAATAGTTGTACCATCACCTCTATTAAGGTTGCAGTGGGAAAAAAAAGGGATGTTGCTGGGACCTAGCACGGTCTCCGAAATTTTTTTTTTTTTTTTTTTTTTTTGCTTTATCACTTCCAACAGTGGAGCATTTTGCTAACAATGTTCCTTGCATTAGACTGTTTCTCTGCTGCCATTAGCAGGAAGAGAGTGGATTAGTTCTTACAGCTTGTCCATCTCCCACTGCAATCTTTAGACATTATGCAGTGGCTTCCTAGTTTTCAAGAAGAAAAACAGTCTGTCCTTTGTTCGGCTTAACAGGCAGCATGGATAAACTTTTGATTTAGGAGGCTGTGTTTGTGAAGACTCATTTTGATTTCAGGGCACAGGACTACTTAGGCAGGTGCAAACCCAAGATCATTCTGCCCACACTGTGAGCAAACTAGACACAGGCCTCTTTCTTCAGAAATGGTGTTGCCATGTTACCTGAGTGGTATTTGAAGTAGGCCCTGACTCTTATCTTACAAATACTGTCATTGCGAAGAGTTCAGCTGCAGTTTTCTTAAGTGATAAATTCTGCTGCAAAAAGTATATACTTTGTGTGATCTCCTCATTTTGTTCTTCTGTTCATTGAAAGATTTCAGCATGGAAGAGGCAGATTTGGAAAGGTATCCTGGGCATATAGAACAGCAGAAAGTGACCTAATATAATTTTCTGTAGCTGTTAACATTTAACTCAGGAATCAGTAGCAGCTATACACTTAGGATAATATTTCTCCAACTACATGTATCTATACAGGCTTCTTGTATACTGAATGTTATTTGGGCTTTGGGCATTTTTGGTTTTCTTTTTTTAGGAAAGAGAAATGAAGTCCCTTGGCCTGCAGAAGGAAATAAATGCTATGAACAAAGAGGTTTGTACATAAAGTAGTGTAAATAGGGCAAGATTGCAAAACCCGAGGGAAAGATAAGCAATCCAGTAAGTGCTTGGAAATACTTCTTGAACCTGTTATGGAAATAACTGGCTGAGACCAGCAGTTTATAATTAGCTTGATAGGTTTCATGATTGGCTTGTAGATATCTAGACATTCTAAATGTTTTTCTGCTGTCTATGTTGACTGATCTCAGCTATTCATGTGTAACCCTAGAGTACTGTGTTCAGAAGTCTGCAGCCAGCTAAGATAGGATTTGGACCAAGCTTTTTAAAACTCAAAGAGTACAATTCTCCCATAAAGGCTTTATAGGCTAACTTCTCTGAGGGCACTGAACTAACTTGCTTGTCATTATTTGTTCGTGAGGAATGGGGTTTTCTGAAGTTCTGAAGTCTTTCTCTCATCAAAGTGCTAAAACTTCTGTTTCTCAGATTTACTTGTTGATATGATTCCAGCAGAGCCTCCTCCCCCTAACATGCAAGAAATAAAGATTACTTTCCTGTTCCCAAATCTTCTATGAGACATCAGTTAACATGGATGAATCAGTTTTGAGAGTCCCAGGGCCACAGATAATTAATATTCATAGTCTTTTCAAAGCTCGAAGTTTGATGTCAGTCATGAAAACCATACAACCACAATTGGTTTAGATTTGCAGATTTCTTGAACTGTATGCCTTTTGGTGCTGTGGGGCTTATCATTTATGTGGAATCTACCTTTGACATGTTTTTCTGTATAGTAATTCTGCAAGACCTATCCAGACATGGCTATATTAAGAAACAGGGCTAGCAAAAAAATTCCCTCAAAATTATTTTACATTTTCTCTTCCTTAAGCAAACAGTGCTGAGTTTGAGATAAATACAACAAAATGCAAAGATGTAAAGTTTTGTTCATATTGGCAGAATTGAAAAATACACTGCTTTTTCCCCTGGCCTAAAAGTTACAGTTCTGCCCCTGTTAATGGCTTATTTCATGCCTTGCTCTTTGTACAAACAGCATTCTGAGTCCAAAATGAGCACATCAAAGCACAGAGTAGTTGTATGTATGCCAAGTTTAAAAAGAGACATAATGACTGGAAAATATTTCTCATTTATGGAGAAACTGAGATTTAACACCTTTCCTGCAAGCTTCCATTGAATGAGACTTTTTCCTTCGGTTAACATATGTCCATGCTAAACACACAAAATATAAGATATCACACATTTTCAAAGTTAAAAAAATTATTGTAAATCCCTCTGTATCTGAAAGGACACAGTTCTATCTCTCTAGACCTAAGAAGTTTGATGATACACATTTTTATCTGCATGCTACAGGATGTACCTGAAGCTCATAGCCAGAAGAGCTGGTTTTAATCTATGGCAGTAATGAGCCATTCTGTCTGATCTAGGTAACATGTCTAGCTCTTTGCCTGGATATTTGAAAACGTCTTCTAAAATACTGTTTACACCCCCACTTAAGGTAGTTTGCCCTTCTCTAAATAAGAGGGCAAAATGTGGTGGCAGCTGCTATATATTATTTCAGTGAAAAGAATATGGTTTAGCCCAGAAATAATATTCTTGTCTTTGCTCTTGGTCAGGTGTTTTGGGCAACAGAAATAGGGTGAGTCACTCAAGAATCCTTCTCAAGTTTTGCTCAGTATGCTGGGAGACAGAGTAGTGAGGAATATTAAATGTTTCTATCACAACCTCATGCAAAGTTAGAGGTATAATATTCAGTACAGCTCCATAATGCTGACTTCTCACATACAGATAAATGGCTCCCAATAGCTTGCCACATTAGTTTCTCGTTTTTCTCCCTGCTAACAATCCTTTGAAAGATTTTAGACTGACTTTCGGTTCCCTGCAGCACTGAAGCACTGGGTTCCAGGATGCCCAATATCAGAGGGTATACAAAGGTACTTTTTCACTGGAGTGAAAAAGGTTTCTGTCTCTGACTTAAATGACTAAGGTTTGATGGAATAATGTAGTTCTCCTTTTCACCAAAAATACGTAACTATAAAAGGTTGAATGGCTAAATCAACCCTGCGAGAAAAACAGTCCTGATGCATAATAGATGGAGGAAATGTGTTTCTAAATTCTGGGAACAAAATAGCTAGTTCCAGAGTTTGCATAGTCTCAAATCTTCGTGTGGGTCACTGGTTACTCTCCCTGCCTTCTTCATGGTGCATTTTCAAGAGTTCTAGAAAGTTGCTGGCGTCTTTTCACTGCATCGCATTCCACTCTGTATTGTAACAAAATGATTTGTCTAATCATGCTGTGATACACTGTGGTTTTTCTCAGGTCTTTATTTTGTCTATCATTTTCCATAGTATTTCCCTACTCAGCTCTAGCTAAGCAAAATGGTAAACTGGATGTTTGTTTCTGTGATGATTTCTGTATCACTTTCACCAAACCTGAAGAGTACTATTTCTGTGCTGTTTCGTTGTTCACGTGGCTACCAATTTCAGAGGTTTATGATTTGGCTGTCATTGTAATGTCACGTAAGAAGTTCTGCTTCTTAGAATAAAGCAGTTCTCAGTCTTTTCTCATAAATTTTTCCTCCCTGCTGTGAGTACTTAATCTGACAGTGACAACAAAAGTACCATTGCCTTTTCAGTTCACAAAACACTGTGTTCACAAACTGCTGTCAGGTGGAAATCCAGTCTCTCTTTTTCACGTCTCCTGCATGGGCCAGAGTTTTCCTTCACAGCAGTCCTGCCCCCAGGAGTAATCCAGTAAGATAATGCAATGCACCCTTCTTCAAGAGACAGCAGTGTACTCACGGCATGGTCATCTATACCAGACTTTTTGTCTCCAGATCACTTGCCTGGCTTTTTATCTGACTCGCCCCAGCAATCCTTTTCACATGATCTACTTTTGAATTTTTAGTTCATTGCATGTTTGTAAATGTAGAACCACAGCCAGAAATGTGAAAGCCCAGTCTCTGCATAGAAGACCAGATGGCCTAGACAGATAAAATCATTCACAGACATTCATTTGGAGATCTGAGAGATGCTAACTTGAAACATCTTTTTCTGTGTTTTCATAGCGAATTAATGACAGCATGTTTTTTTTTTAACAATTGGGCATTTGCGGACCTTGCTGTGACATTTATGCAGCCAGAGAGCAGTACCTCTGTGTCACAGTTACCTTAGAGGTTATTTACAGCTTGCTAAT